CATCAACCCTAAAGACTTCACAAAGCCCATCCATGAGGTGCTGATGGAAATGACGGGCCTCGGCGTGGACTACTCCTTTGAAGTGATCGGCCTCACTGAGACCATGGTAAGTGAAAAGTGGGCATGGGAGGAGTCAGTTGGTCAGCTATCCCTCTCTGCGCCACTCAGCGCGAAGGGTGAGGAGCTGAGTGTCATGGGCAGAGCATTAAGTAGAATTTCCAACCATGAAGTGCAGCAATTGGCCACTGAGCGCTAGAGACAGCAGCACATTCAGGAGCCTCAGGAAGGGGAACTTGGATGGAGCCCCTGAGCTTTCTGCCTAGAAGAAGGGCCAGGACCCAGGGAGATGAGGGTGCATCTGGGCGCATGACTCCTCTCCAGCAGCTGTTAATTGGCAAGGAGGAACCAAACAGCTACAACATGTCTGACCTGTGACAGCAGATAGGATGGGGTGACCTTCAGAAATTGTTTGATAAGATCTCAGTTGCAAAATGTGTTGTTAGCACGATCCTGGGTGGAGGAAGAAGAGGAGGAGGATCTCATAGTGTTGCACCTCAACAGCAGGACTTGCATAACCCCAGTGTCACCCTCTCTGCTTTAAATTCAGACTGCGGCCTTGGCCTCCTGCCACTTCAACTATGGAGTCAGCATAATTGTGGGGGTGCCCCCTGCAGCCAAAAAAATCACTTTTGACCCCATGCTCCTCTTCAGTGGTCGCACCTGGAAGGGGTCTGTCTTTGGAGGTAAGGACCTTTTAAAGGTGCTGTTTAACTTGCTTGGAAAAATTGTAACTCATTCTGAATCAGAGGAGATACATCTAAACCGATGGTTTAAGCTGCACTGTTGCAAGAATATTGGTAGCTGCTATGTTGTTATGAAAACTGTGATTAATAGGTAGCAGGGGCTAACGGAGAAGGACGAGGGGGAAAGTGACCAACAGTGTAAGTGAGAAAAGCATCAGCAAGTAGAGAAACCACAAGTAAGCAGAGGAATAGTGAATAAAAGAGGGCAAGTGAGACACAGTATGTGAGCAAGAGTGAAACAGCATGAAAAAGAGCACACACATGAGAGAAACAGTAAGAAAGGGAAAGATTGCAAAAGCATGAGGGAGAGGGAAAGCAAGAGTGAGGAAGAGTACAAAAGAGCAAGAGAAAGCAGCCCCAGGCAAGTGAATGAGTGAGCAAAAGTGAATGAAAGAGCGTGAGCAAGCAAGAGTGAGCAAAAAAAGTGAGAGATGAATGAACATGAGACCAAACAAGTGACAAAGAGTAAGAGTGGGAGAGAAATGAAAGGTGAGAAAGAGGAAGGAATGGTGGAGGCAGAGAGGGGAGAAAGAGTGAAAAAGAGGGGAAAGGCGGAGAAGAAAAGGGAGAGAGGAAGAGGGAGAGTGAAGAAGAGGGGAAAGGAGGGTGGAAAGGTGGGGAGAGAAGTGGGACAAAGAGGTAGATGGGGTGAGAAAGGGAGGCAAGAGGGAAAAGGAGAGGGTGAGAAAACAAGGGAGGAAGGAAGATGGAGGGAGAAAGAGCTAAAGAGAGGGAGGGAATTGAAGATGAGGAAACAGAATTAGGAGGTAGACAGAGCAGACAGAAAGGGAGAGAGGGAAGAGAGAA